AAAAAAAAAAAAAAGAAAAGTTTTCAATGAGGACCCCATGGCTCTGCCCACATCCCTAGAAATGTCCTCACTCTGAATTCTTGCTGGAACGTGTAGGTAGCTACTTGTACACGTGAGTGCCTCATGGTTCGATTCAAGTATTGATTTTAAATCTTTCAGGCTTTTCCTAAGTTCTCTGCAAAATTTCATTTTCCCCTCCACAAAGCATTATTAAATGTTCCCTCTTGCACGTGTCAAGGCTTACAATTCAGGGATGTTTTCCTCCGAAAACTGCAAAGACCTGGACACTTGAGGGTCCTCATGTTGAATTTGATCTATTTCTTGCTCATCCTGTTCACTCTGCAGGTCCTGGTCATGCTCAGCCTCCAGCTCCAACACATCCTGATAAAGATCATGAAAGAAGCAAAGCAGAACAAAAGGGTTATCACCAGAGGTGGTAGTCTCTTTAGCCTACCAATGCCTCCTTCTCTGAGGGTAAGTGCATAAGCCGTCACAGCTGGAGCCTTCTAAAGCATTTGTAAGATAAGCAGACATGCCCTCCTGCTCTGTTGACTGAGGAAGGCTGGAGCACGAACTTGGAGAACACCCGTGTCCGCACGCAGAGCTCTTTTCAGTGCTGATGAATAATTGGATTCCATTTGTCCACGGACTCTAGAGATGCTGTTTGAAATAAACAGGGATGAAGTGTCTGCTGTCTTTGACCTACTTGTAAGTGGTTCAGAATGTTCCATCTATTTACGTATATAAAGATAAAGCAAATGTGACAAATGGCAACAATTTTAAAATATAAGTGTGAGAATATGAGTAGTCATCATATAATTCTTTTAAGTTTTCTTTTTATTTAAATTTTTTCATACTAAATAGTTTTGGGTAAAAACCTACTCTCAGTTTGACCCACAAAATTTCTTTGTTTCATTATTCTTTGCCTTGTTTTAGAGAAACATTCAAGGCATTTTCTGGTATTTCAAGTCTGTGCATGCACACAATTGACAATGATTTATCTTCGAATATTTCTCTTCTTTAGTAACTATATTATGAAATATTTCCACTGTGCTTTGAAGAAGTTTAGTATGAAATTCTTGCGTTTCAGAAAAACTTTTTTTTCTTTTTTAAATCTTTATTAAATTTATTGGGGTGAAATTGGTTAGTAAACTTATATAGGTTTCAAGTGTACAATTCTGTAATACATCATCAATATATTGTATTGTGTGTTCACCACCCAGAGTCAGTTCTCTTTCTATCACCCCTTTTACCCTCTTCCACCACCCCATCCCCCATTTCCCTCTGGTAACCACTAAACTTTTTTTTTTTTTTTTTTTTTTTT